CCCATGATCAGGAGAATGAGGGTACAGAAGAAGACGTTAACTTTAAATGATGAGTAGCTAGCATTAACCAGGCAGAGGAGGCTAACGGCAGCGCAGCGCGGACTGGATTCATCGTGTGAGAGACAGACAGAAAGGGAGAGAGAGAGAAAGGCCCAGAAGAGGAGAGAGAGGGGAGAGAAGAGGTATAGTGTCTGTGATTTCGGATACTTTTAGGTTTATAATCAAGTCTTCATCACGAGAAGAGTAGAGAAAATACAGGGAGAGGAGGAGAGAGACAGTAAATTAGTGTTTGTAATATGAAAGACTCAGATTCATAGACCTCAGATTCATATAACTGGATTGGAGAAGCATTGTGCGTTATATGCCATGGCAATAATATGCTTTATAAGTTTGTAAAAGCAATACACTAAAATACCCTTAAAAAAAAAAAAAAAAAAAAAAAAAAAAAAAAATATATATATATATATATATATATATATATATATATATATATATATATATATATATATATATATATATATATATATGTAGTTTTATTAGTATTTTTATTTAATGCTTTGAAAAATAATTTAAATCTTTGCAGACTATAAATCCATATGTACTATATATCATTTATTTAAATATGTGGGCAACAAATTATAGATTCATTTTATTTAAAAATTATTATATTATTCTTATTTTTTAAATTCAACTATAGGGGTGCGGCCAGGTAGGGGGCCTTACAAGATAATGTGCCCAGGGGCCCCTGAGTTCTTAATCCGGGCCTGGCGACACGGTAGAGAAAACTCGCTCAGCAAACACGCTTGTGTCTGGATCCACAAGCAACGTTATCATTGTAACAGCTAAGAGAGGTAATAAAACGTTACCTCACTAAGAAGCCAGCAGGTCAAAGGGGCCACAGGGAGTGAGAGAGAGTTAACAGCTTTTATTTTCTTCTTAGCTAGGTTTTGATGAACTTCCGTGTCAGTGAAAGACTGTCCAGCAAACACACAAGCATTGAATTGTGCAGTTATCTGCTTTTTATGTAGTTGGAGTGTTTTAATTACTCGCGATCTACTCCCTCACCATAGTAGGCTACCGACATATTTGTGATAAATAAAGTCAGTGCGTAATAACTGGTTATGATCTATCACTGAACTAATACCGTATTGTTTGCAATACTATCTGCATCGCGGTGCATCGAAGAAACAATTAATTTTGACACCCCTACTTTTACTAAAGCACACAAAAAATTAAACATGACTATTTTCTAGATTGATATGTCTACTGTACTTTAATTTTGGCATAATAATTAAGAAAATTTGCTGCCATACCATGACTGCAGCAGGGCTGCGTGTGCAACAAATAGGCAGGGCCTGAGTTACATATCGACATGATTAAAGATTCGCTACAGCAGCGATTCATTCAAACCACCCGACTTTTTTTTATAGATGAATCAATAGTTTTAAACACGATGCACTTTCAGATTTAAGCTTTAGCTGGATTTTTTCATTTCACTGTGATACACACTGCATGGAAGGTCATTTCCCATAACCCATAATAGAGGCTCTTAAAGTAAATTTTATTTCAGCTAAAATAACATGCAATGTGTTGAAAACAGCTCTGGTTTTTAATTTTAGAAGAACTTACAGACATCATAAATTATGTTATTTCATTACACTTTGTGAACATAAATAAAAGCCTTCAGACAGAAGACATGAGGTGAAACACAAAACGCCCCTGTTCAGCTGCCCTGTTTAGGCTGTAGCTGTCAATCAGTCAGACAAATGTCCAAATCAAAGGACAGAGGATTGAAACAATGTTTGATGCACTGTAAAGATTTGCTGTATATGATATTACAGGCTTGTAAAATGCATTTATTCCATTTGAAGCTCTCCAATCTTTCTAAATCAATGCTGTTGATAAGCACATTCAGACATCATCAGGACTAAATAATGCAGCAAGCGAGTCTTTCTCCAATGCAATCCGAATAGTATTTGCAGCTTTGAGTCTGAGTGGGAAGTAGTCAGTTTCTGGGATTGCATACCCTCGAGAAAGATCCAACCAAAGCACATACGACATTAGAGTAGGAAAACACAGTGTTTTTTTTACGTCTTTATCTACATCTTCAGGCTTTAAAAAAAAAGTTTCTCTAAGTACAGTATGGTTTCATTGTTTTACTTTTCTTGAATTGTTTAGCTGTAGTATCATATTAGTTCACACATTTTTTTAGTTCATACATTTTAACGTTTGCTTGACTTTACTCTTTTACTTTACATTTTATTTGCTAATGTTTTCATACCATTAGCAGTAATAAATAAAACAGACAGCTCGTACAATGTATACAAGTCACAACTAAAGTCTGTTCTCTTTTATTCTAGAGTGTATTTAGCAGTATTCAATACTTATTTATACCGAATTTGTCAGTCTTCAAAAGTTTCTCACAAAGAATGGCCTTCTCAGCTGCCATATTTGCAAATCTTGCATCATCAGAACAGAGCGTTCTGCTTAGAGCATGTGACCTTTCTCTAATTTAACACCATACTCTGTGATATACAATGCATCTGGAAAGTATTCAAAACGCTTCACTTTTTCCACATTTTTTTGTTACAGCTTGATTCCAAAATGGATAAAATTAATGTATTTCCTCAAAATTCTACACACAATACCCCATAATGACAATGTGATACACTCTGCATGGAAGGTCATTTTCAAAAACCCATAATAGAGGCTCTTAAAGTAAATTTTATTTCAGCTAAAATAACATGCAATGTGTTGAAAACAGCTCTGGTTTTTTATTTTAGAAGAACATACAGACATCATAAATTATGTTATTTCATTACACTTTGTAATGTATACAAGTCACAACTAAAGTCTGTTCTCTTTTATTCTAGAGTGTATTTAGCAGTATTCAATACTTATTTATACCGAATTTGTCAGTCTTCAAAAGTTTCTCACAAAGAATGGCCTTCTCAGCTGCCATATTTGCAAATCTTGCATGTGAGAGCGTGTGTATACTCTGTGATATACAATGCATCTGGAAAGTATTCAAAACGCTTCACTTTTTCCACATTTTTTTGTTACAGCTTGATTCCAAAATGGATACAATTAATGTATTTCCTCAAAATTCTACACACAATACCCCATAATGACAATGTGAAAAAAGGTTTTTTGAAATTGTTGCAAATTTATTAAAAATAAAAAACCTAAAAAGTCACATGTACACAAGTATTCACAGCCTCTGCCGTGAAGCTCCAAATTAAGCTCAGGTACATTCTGTTTCCACTGATCATTCTTAAAATGTTTCAGCAGCTTAATTAGATTTCACCTGTGCTAAATTCAGTTGATTGGACATGATTTGAAAAGGCACACACCTGTCTATATAAGGTCCCGGGATTGAAAGTGCATGTCAAAGCACAAACCAAGCATGGAGACAAAGGAATTGTCTGTAGAACTCCGAGACAATGTCTCAAGGCACAAGGCTGGGGAAGGTTACAGAAAAAATCTGCTGCTCTGAAAGTTCCAATGAGCACAGTGACCTCCATTATTCGTAAGTGGAAGATGTTTGGAACTCTAAGCTTAGTGATCGGGGGAGAAGGACCCTAATCAGTGAGGTGATCAATAATCCGATGGTCATTCTGTCTGAGCTCCAGCATTTTTCTGTGGAGAGAGGAGAACCTTGCAGAAAAACAACCATCTGTGTATGGTAGAGTGGCCAGACGGAAGTCACTCCCTGCCTGGAATTTGCCAAAAGGCATCTGAAGGACTCTCAGACCGTAAGAAACTGAATTCTCTGGTCTGATGAGACTAAAATTGAACTCTTTGGAGTGAATGCCAGGCGTTACGTTTGGAAAAACCAGGCACCACTCATCACCAGGCTAATACCATCTTTACAGTGAAGCATGGTGGTAGCAGCATCATGCTGTGGCGATGTTTTTTCAGCAGCAGGAACTGGAAGACTAGTCAGGATAGATGGACAGATAAATGCAGCAATGTACAGAGACATCCTGAATGAAAACCTGCTTCAGAGTGATCTTGAGCTCAGACTGGGGCGATGGTTCATCTTCCAGTAGGACAATGACCCAAAGCACATCACCAAAATATTAACAACTCAGTGAATGTTCTTGAGTGGCTCGTGTCATATACAGTACTGATACATTTCTTAATAAATAACCTACTATAAATAAAAGCTTTAACCTATGCTATATATATTTGTTTTCACCAGCTTTTTAGACGTAACGTAAATTCCACTTTTAAATACCAGGTCACCTCTCGTCATGAGCCACGAGTGTGTTCAAAATGTTTCAAAGTGCACTACGAAGGGAGCGCAATTGTCAGTATGAAGATCGCAACTGAACTGTACTGAAAGTATGTTGAAAACAAATTACACCTAAGAGTGATGACTTTAATGTTTTTCAATGTTTAAATGTTGGAACGTTCCAAAGGAAAAGGGAATAGGGGGGAAAACTGGGAATAGAACACAACCAGGAACTATGCTTTGTTCTTCAGCTCTAGAGGTGTAGTTGCAAACGTACAAATTTGCCACGCAGTTCTAAATGTTTGTTGGAATGATGGATTTGGGAAACACCAAATCAACAAACCATGTTTGTAACGATAGAACTTGCGACCTTAGTTGGCTAATGATGGTTTTTGGAAACGTACCTCAGGTTTGTAATGTTGACCCAGACAAATTCATGTTAAAAGCTTAACACACTTGAATTTGATGTGCAGTCCAGTAATCAAAATGGTGGAAAAGCGTTAGTGCTTGTGACATCATGTAATACCAACTTTCAGTACAGTTTTACTTTGTATTTCTTTAAGTTGTTGCACATTTTGTCTTCTGTTTTGTGATGTGTATCGAGGTGTATTTTTAAAATAATATGAGGCGCAAACATGATCATAAATCAGTCATAATAAAATATATAAAATGCATCTGGAAAAGTTTTAAATCTTTAATCTTAAAACAAAACTATTTATTTATATATATTTTTGTCACATATGCCCTCTATCTTTCTCTACAGGGGGAAGCTTTGTCTAGTCGGGACACATGTCCCTCGGGAGCATTTACAACCAGGGGAGAGTGCTGCAAACAATGCCAGCCTGGGGAAGGGATGGTGAAGCCCTGCGGAGCGACGCAGACAGTGTGTGAACCGTGTCTTGACAGTGAGTATTCACAGAGATGCTGGCCGCAGCCTTGCCAAAATGAAGCAGCTGCCTTATTTAAAATGCCATTTCCTGCGCTGAACTCTCACTTGAGAGGGAGGCAGAGGGCTTTTGAGTTTTGAACGGTAATTAGTTGTTAAAGGGGAAATGCTTTTAGGAAATGAGACTTGACAAAACGTTGTCTGAATTGTCCAGAGACCAATCTGGGTGTTTTCAGCTACTCACAGCTGTAAGTGAGATTTATTCATTTAAGCAGAATCCAGCTTGGGTCTAGCCTACCCTACTCACTGTTTTTTTTTTTTTTTTTCTCGAATAAATGTAGATTTTTTAGGGTTTGTACGTCTGTGACAGGGCTATTCAATTGGCTGCCCGCTGGCCAAATCCGACCCCGAGGCAATTTGTTCCAACCCTCCAAACAGTCTGACCAAGACATCAAAAATGAATTTAGTTCAATTGGAAAACAGCTGCTATAGTTATAAAGTGACGTGCGTCTGTTCAATAACAGCACGAGCTGCAGTTGCAGGCTGCACAGAGCGCAAGTCACCATAAGCAAGTGGTTCAAGCAGCCAAAAACATTTAGATGTGTTTGTAGGAAAAGCCTTTTGTACAGTGCACTGATATCGTCAATAGGGATGCAACGATTAGCCGATTTTACTATCAACATCGCTTTAATTCATCATGTTAATTAATTATAAAATCTTCTCTAAGCCGCATTTCTGTTGCACGAAACGAAACTGCTGCAATGAAACTAAGTTATGCCAAGTTGTTAACTGTGCACTAGTTCCAAGCTTGTACACTGAGGCTAATACGCATGCACATCAGATTAACTATAGCACGGCCGTTCCCATATCACATCTTTTCCGCTTGCAAGTTTGTTATTTGTAATGTAAGAATATATGACAATATGCGTGCGCACAAGCGGAGCAACGCTCTTGCGGCTTTCTGGGCGCAAGCAGTTGAAAACATCTCACGTTGAGAGTTGTGTGTGCCTTTCAGGGCAATGTTAACAAAAGATATGTTAGATGAATTATTATTAAAATGATTATGTATGCATGAACGCAGATGGCAACAACAGGTAATCTAAACAGCTACTTACCTAATAGAAAGCTTGAATTTACCTTAGATGTGATAACCTTGAAACCCTAATTATTCTTCAGGCTATTGTACATCCAAAATCTATAATTGTTGCATCCCTAATTGTTATTGCTTTGTTGTTGCTCGTTTCTGTGTGCACGTTATTCGTCCGTTATTCGTACATTGTTCTTAGTTTATCGTTGTTTACGAGGCTTGGACAAAGCGGACAGGTAAGAAGGTCACGTGACATACATTTCGCAACACATAGGACTACTCTGCTGTCTAGTACACTAGGTTAGGGGCGAGCGCCACTACTTGTACTTGGATAGATAGATAGAGTAGATAGTTAGAACTCGGAAGATCTTCGTGTGTTAATTATACTGTTTTTCACATAGTTAGTTAGCTAGATGCTTCTGGGAAGTTAGATTTAGTTTGGGTTTTGTTCTTTTCATTTCTTTAGCGCCGCCCGCGTCCCTTCTGCCAGCTCTCTTGTTTTTCCCGTCTTTATTTGTTTCAGTGTTGTACATATTGTAAATAGTATATTTTTGCCTTACTTACTTTTTCTTTATTTTTGATTAATTCATTGTTGTTGTTCACTTTGGGATTGTAAATAAAAACAAACATATTTTGGCATTACTTTGGTTGTCTTTCCACTGATTCACTGTTTATATAAATATATTTGAATTAAATAAATGTCAAACCCCACAACCCTAGACTAACATCAGGGGTTTGTAACAAGTAGTTTAAAACATAAACTTATGAATTTGTCTAAATGTAGAAGAAGCCTACTTAAGCAATGCACTGCTTTTGTTGTGCTCTGAAATACATACAAAAAAAAAGTCTATTGTATAATGCATTGATATTAGTATCAAAACACAATAAATTAACATTTTATTTGTCAAAAAAGTGAACTTGGCTGTCTTAAAGAGCAAAAATACAACATATGGGCTCTTACATGCAGTTGTGTCATCATCACTCATATAGCAAGTCATATTTCTCTGGCCCTTGGTTTGGGATGCTTTTCATGAACCAGCCCCCATTACAAACTAATTGGATAGCCCTGTTCTATGATGACAATTTATTGAATCTGTTTTATCCTTTGGCATTGTAGCTTGAATGGTAATCTTATGCCCCAGTGTGTGGAAGTCGGTGCATTATGTATTATGATGTGCAATAGTCTACTAGGTGCAATATTTGTACGTTTTTTTTACTAGGTGTTAAATATTTTTAGTGCAATATCATAGTTTTTTAAATGAGTGTTGAATCACTTTATTACTTGAAATATTTTATGTGCAATTGTTTTATGTGTAATATTATTGCTTTTGGTTAATATTATTTTCATTACTTGATATATGACTTAATAGTATTAGTTACCACTGATTCTTTTAAGTGTAATATCTTATACAGTATAATAGTTTGTATATTTATGTATTGTGGCTGTTTCCTTTTATAGATTGGTTGTATTTATGTGACTTATTTCACTTATTTAATTTATTTATTCTGTCTTGTGTTTTTGTGTATCTGTGTTTTGTGTGTTATGGCAGTCATTACGTAAGCAATTTCCTGCGGGATCAATAAAGTTTTCTAAGTCTAAGTCATTCACACGGGGCTTCAGTGTCAACGCTTGACTGAAGGCGTGTCTGAAGTTGGGGCTGAAGTGATCATCATAGCAGCGTCAGCCAATGAAATTCAGTCAGCAATAGGCCACTGTCTAGCTGGTGTATTTGCATAAAGTGATCTGATTGGTTGACGCTTACAGATCCACAATGCAGTTCGGCAACGCCTGACATCAACCATTCAAAGTGAATGGGAAGCGTTGACGCTGAAGCCCCGTGTGACTTACCAAAGTGATGTGTCGAAGAAAGATTATTTTATGCACCTCGGATCACCCGATGTATTCAGTTTTTCAGTTGTTGTCATCAGGACATTGTTTTAGAGTTCCTACTGTATATGCAGGACAAACAGAACAAGAGATTTGTTTGTTATAGTGGCCATTAGGTTATTAAATAAGTCCAGCATGGAAGGAGATGTTTCTGAAAATTGATTTATTGTGTGTTTTATATGGCAAAAATTGGTAAATTGTACATGGAGCTTGGCTTGTGTACGGCACCTTGCTGCAATTTAATTTCCCTAAATGGGATAATAAAGTTGAGTCATACAATATGTTACACTGGCAGGTTCACATGACAGTTTGCATGCGTAGAGGTTTGGGATTTGGATTATTTTTATTTATTTATTCACAAAGCCTGGTCTTGAGCCAAGTCCTGGTTCAGAGCCTGCCAGAATCCCAGCATTTCCAACATGTTCTCCCACACGTCTGCTTGTTTGACCCAGCTGAAAAAGACAAGATAGGAGGAGAGAGAGACAAATGGGAATAGAGAAAGAGTAGCAAGAAATGTGACCAAAAATAGTCATATATTAGTCTGCACACTATTTATAGAGTGTTGTATAAATGTATAGATTTCCTAAAATGTTGAAGTTATGCTGTAAATTTTACATTTAGGAAAATTTTATTTAGAAAGTATTTTTTTTCCCTTTCAATATACACTTTAAAGCTATAGAGCCCCTAAAGTGACATGCAAAATATATAGACTTTCGATGTCATGCGCACGCAATACTCTACCATGTGCACTCAACACGTATGTCGTGTGCTCGAGATATACAGTTAAAGTCAGAATTAATAGACTCCTGAATTATTAGCCCCCCTGTTTATTTTTCCCCCAATTTCTGTTTAATGGAGAGAAGATTTTTTCCACACATTTCTAAACATAATAGTTTTAGTAACTCATTTCTAATGACTGATTTATTTTATATTTGCCATGATGACAGTAAATAATATTGATATTTTTCAAGACACTTCTATACAGCTTAAAGTGACATTTAAAGGCTTAACTAGGTTAATTAGGTTAACTAGGCAGGTTAGGATAATTAGGCAAGTTATTGTATAATGATGGTTTGTTCTGTAGACTATCTGGAAAAAAATAACTTAAAGGGGCTAATAATTTTGTCCTTAAAATGGCTTTTAAAAAAATTAAATCTGCTTTTAATCTAGCCGAAATAAAACAAATAAGACTTTTTCCAGAAGAAAAACAAGGCAAACATGGATCCCTGTGAGGTAGTTTTTCAAGTTAAGATTTAACAAAAGAATATATTGAACAAGCACATTAAATGTACTAATAAGAACACGTGCACACAAAAAATATGTACATGAAATAATAAAAACATAGATAATCAATATAAAATGCAGAGATCCATGTTCATCACAAAAATGCATGAAGCTGCAAATAAAATTTGTTGTTTGTTCATTTTCAAATACAAATTTTGGTGGAATGCCTTAACGGGGGCTTATAATGTCTCTTTAAACAAGATGTTTAATAAGTCTATAGCTATGTTTCCATCTACCTTTTTTTATGCGCATTTTGCATCCAACAGTTGATGTAAACGCCATGATGTGCATACATTTTGAAAATGCGCATACATTTTTTAACTGAGTAGGATAACAGATTTTTATTTGATTAGAAAAGATGCGCATAAACTAAGGTGGAAACACTTTTTAATGGTCAAACTAGCTGGCTGAGCACACTGTAAAACATCTGAAATGTTTTTTTTGGTCTTTTCGAAACTACTTACCGTTTAAGTATTAGAGTTATTATATTATTAATGACCTCCAGAATCAAGAGTGTCTGTGCAGTGGAAGACAGAATTATTAGCCCCCTTTGATTATTTTTTTTCCTTTTCTAAATATTTCCCAAATTATGGTAACCAGAGCAAGGAAATTTTCACAGCATATCTGATAATATTTTTTTCTTCTGGAGAAAGTCTTATTTGTTTTAATTTGGCCAGAATAAAAGCAGTTTTAAACTTTTTAAACACTATTTTAAGAACAAAATTATTAGCCTCTTTAAGCTAATTTTTTTCCGATGGTC